ATTCAGCACACCATTCATGGAGGCATCATGGAGAGATCAACCAATTAGGATGTGGGTGATAATCCTGAAAGGAATGGAGATGAAGGCAAGCAGAATGAGATATATGGGTGAGGTTTAAAGTTGGTAGTGTTTCAGCTTCTCTGGGCCCCACAGACAGAGGCCTCCTACTGTCCCCTGAGTGTGTGACTCCTTTGTGTCTCATCCATACCTAACATCAAGTGATTGCTGTGTTTCTTCTGGGCTTGAAAACATATTCACACTAAAGGAATTTGGTTCCATAGCTGGTGTTATTGTGTCGAGGGAAGGCCCCACATCTCTGAGAACAGCTGTGTGGAGATGGATGGAGTTAGGACCCATAACCTTGGAAATATTAGCACATGAAAGCTAGAAAGACTTCAGGAGGGCTATTTTAGCCGCTCACAGGGGCCCCTCTATTTGCCTCCCCTTCGTTCACAAACAGAAACGCATATGACAGTGTTGTTACACGCTGCATGTTGGTCACTCAACATCCGCCGCAGAGCCCAACTCCTCTAAGACACTTAGCTGAGTAATTTTGTCATAATTATGATTAATGCTCTGGCGGGTCACTGGCAGTGTTAAGGAAATTAACAGCACTCGGTGCCCCCCTTCACGCAATCAACAAGTCATTTACAAATCATTACTTGATTCGTGGAAATGTGCAACAGGTCATCTGATATATGAACAGCTTTGACTGTGCCTGTGTTTCCCTTGGGGAGCGTGAGCTCGGTGCACACAGTGCCTCAGGACAGTGGCCTGGTCTGGGCCAGGTTATAAGTAACAACAAAAAGGAGGAAGCAGGAGGGACACTTTGGTTGAGAGAGAACAGAAACCTCTCAGAGTGCTTCCAAAAATTTTCCGTGGAGCTGTCATGGCCCAAGAGGTTTATAGCTGTTCTAGTATTTGTGGTCTTGATTTGTGTTTCTTGAATTGTTGAACTCCTGTTTTGATTTCTTTATTATTCTAATAGATTGTGAGTTTTGTTTAATGTGATATTACTAATGCTTTTGCTGTTTTTATTTCACAGTTATTGCAGTGATTAGTTTCAATCTTGCAGTCTGGCGTTTCAGTTCATGTCTTGATCTTTGTTCTCGGAATAGTTGCTATTTCCTCTTTGTTTCCTTGTCTGCTCTTGTATGGGTCTTGTCCCTGTTTAGTAGCTTGTTTGCTTTACTTTCCACCTCACTTTGAAGGTTGGATTTCTGTTGTGTCTTGTTCTGCTTTTACTTTCTGTTTTCCCTCCTTTGTAATTGTCATCCTCATCCTAACTGTCTTCAATATGTTCAGCTGTGCCTCCTCACCATTTCTCCTCTTGACTAATCAGCTCTCTCTGTGTATGTATACTTCTTTCTTTCCTCTTTCCTTTGTTTTACTTTCCCTGGTTTGTGCTATTTTCCTTGTTTCCTCATGCTTGTTTTGGGTTTTTTTGTTTGAGTTGCTTTTTTCTGTTTTAAATGCTTTATTTTTTATGAGCTGTGAAAGCTTGTGTTTGTTTAGGTCATTCAGCCTTCAGCTGCCTCCATTTGGCTCCTAACCTTATTGCTCAAAACTCTCTCACAGACTGAATACAGTTGGTATATTGTATTTGCTTCAGTAAAGGAAGATGGACAACATCTGGATGTCTAGTTTGATTAGAAAAGGGAAAGAATCAGTACTTAAGGGCATCCACTCAGAGAGATGATAAAGATTAGAGACAGCTCTTCATGCAAGATATGCAAATACACGCGCCATGATACATCTGCTCAGGGTGAAAGCTCACCTCAGTGAGATTGCCTCTGAAGAGTTTCTGTGATATTCTACCAACAGTGTCCTTGTCGTTTATAACCATTAGATAACTGGAGTCAGACACTCTCAAATGCAATATATTGTTTCAGAAACATGGGAATGGTATTAACTGAGCGCGTTATCTCACTCATTGAGGCTCCAAAGTCAACTTTTCCAAAGAAAGCCACAGCTTTAATAATACAATGAGATTTATTAGCTAAATGCAGTCTTGCCAACTTTCATACGCCCAAGAGCGTGTAATTACTATGAATTTTTTTATTTGGCTCTTTGGTATGCTGCTTGCCATAATAAGTAAGCAGTTGCATGAACATGTACAGTATCTTCAACCTTATAGCATTTCAGGGTGCCAAAGGATTTAAAGAGACAACCTATCAACTGCAAAAAAACAAAGATCAATCCCATATGATGGCCAAGTATCTGCCCTGCAGTAGCTGACCCCATGCTCAAGCTAATTAGGGAGTGGGTGAAACAGAAAAAGTCAAGTTCCCCTTTGGGAGAACAGAAGTGAATGCCCTCTCGTGAATATGGATACCAAGAACAACAAGCAAAGAAAAATAAAGGCCATGAGTTCAGCAGTCAATATTGTTTTATAAATAGATTTTTCTTCCTCTGTGAATTTTGCGGGTAACTTCTGGAATCCTTCAAAAGATTTGCAAATCAGAGAGCTTTTCCATGTACTGTAGAATAAGCAGATGTAAACACTTTCAGTGGAACAAAGTATGCGAGAGCACCAGATCTGTGTGCACTCGCATCCTCGCCCTGCCAATTCAAACAGTTCGTAAGTCTGATATTTCATTTCGCTCCAGGAGATTATTGTTGTGCAGCACAACTTTTCTCTTTCTTCTTCAGACCACAGTGACGAGGGAGTGTCTGCATTTTTGACCACCTAAAACGCTCCGCGGGGCAATTTCCACCGTCCCTTGAAATTTCGAGCGGTGACAAACTACAAAGCATTTTTAAACTGTTATGTGTAACTGCCAGCGTGGCTGAAGGTACGGATCTGAAGCAAAGTCAATGTCTTGAAGTAAAGCTAGGAAGTGCACACGCAAAAATTAATAATTGACCTAGGTTAACTTTTCCACCTTGCAGCTTTTATTAAAAACTAGTTTGACTCAGGAGGGCAGCGTTCAGCGCGACCTTCTTGAAGTGGCTTTCTGTGACCCCCTTTGCCCTCTCATGCACACATTTACACTGATGCACGACAATATTTCATATTTTCATGCTCGGCTTTTCATGATGAATAACCACTAAGTGGAGTTTCATTGGCTCCACATCTGGGAACCTTTACAGCTAAGGATGGCGGGAACTTGCACTGCAAGTTAAATGAGCGCACACACTTAGCTCGTCCCTTGTTTCTATGTCATTCCTTTCATTTCATGTAACAAATCTTTATTCATGTGTCAAGGTGTCGGTTTTTTGTCTGACATTGTGGTTGAAGTCAAAACCCCAATGGAGTTTTTGAAGGCCACGCTGAATATGACTTTCATATGTCTTCTCCTGTCTTCTACATTCCTCAACCTCTGAGAAAACGAGAGCAGCGCTGGCTGTACGATTCATACCAAGGTGCTGAGTAGCCTTTTGATTTCTCCTAAATTTGTATTCTTTTTGAATATTGTGCAATTTTGTAAAACTCAGTTTTGCAACACTGGCTTTATTTCATGGTCACATGTCTTTTTTTAATCATTTAATCTTTTTCTTTTCTCTTTTTCACCTTTTTTCTTATGTGAACATTGCTGCGTAGGGACTTTTTATGTGCAAAATTGCAGTGAGTCATAGCTGATTATATCTGTGCCTTTCTCTTAGAAACAGTATTGAATATGTGAGACACTCTGGCACTGAAGGTCTCTGTGTGTGTTTATTTAGGCTGGGTGCCCAGCTGGCCTCAAGTACTAACATGGCACTAAGGAAGATCATTCATGTAAATCTTATAATTATCCCGATAATCATGCTGCTCTATTCCACTTCGTCAAACTTCATGTGAGGATGTATTAGTGCTTTAACACAACTCATTTATTTCCCAAAAGCTTTTGTTTAATGACTATTTGCAGTAACCTCTTCAGATGCTCGTATTAACCATTCTGTTTATTAGAAACAACATGTTTTATATGAATCACCTGGCTTTACTAGATTTATGCGATACCCTCACACAATTTTTCCACCTACATTTTCCATTTCTGATTAAATAAAATCTAAAGTTAAACCATTCGCTGTTTGCAGTACTCCCTACCCCCATGGTTCCAGTCACAACACCTGCTTAGTTAAACCAGTGGGTGTTGGCAGCGGTCTCGTAGACACAATGAGTTATTAACTATTACAAACAACTGCTTTTCATTAAGGACAATTTCACAATTGAGCAGATTCCTGTGCAGCCTACGTAGATCAGTTAGTGATAATGTAGGCAGACAAGATGAGCAGGTAGTTAAATAATAATGACAGAAGGCAAATAATGTATGAGCTACTCGTCTTAGATTGCGGAACTGGTAGAGCCTTAGTAAATATGTTTAAATGATCCACTTTGTAATACAGCGTCTCACACAAAGACTCTAGGATGGAAATCTCCGCTGTGTGACTAAAAACTTAAACACTAGATAAGCTCCCTTATCTTCAAAGTACTGCGAAGTTTCCACCTGCAGATCCCTGCAGTGAAACCAGCTAAGATAGCGATTACATCTGATTTACTTATATTCCAAACTGTAAGTTGAAATAAAGCTACTGCTGACTCATATTTTCTCACATTTAAACTGGATTTCAAAGAAAATCAGTAAACACAGTGAATTGGGTTGTTACCTGCATCTTGCATCCCTTTCTCTCTCCCTGATGTTTCTATTAGCACAACACTCACATTAGATAAACTACCTCGCTCAGCCTTAAAGAAGGCCCCATGTGGGAAGTTAAAAGTTCACCCTTTTTAGCGCTAATGCTTTCCTAATAGTCGCTTGTTGAGTTAATAGTTAAATAGCTGGCAGGATCATTGTCCTTGCCTTTCATTTACCCTCGCGAATAAAGCCAAACACATGTTCTCTCATCAAAGCCTTACATTTAGCCTCTGACCTGCTGGTACTGTAAGACTGCAGCAGCTGTGTCGGCCCTGGTAGAGCTTGCTTTACATTTGATTATAAGAGTCACTCAAATGAAAAGTGTGTATGTGTGCATCAGTGGCAATGAGACTTGTGACATGTACAGGAATCAAACACCCATAGTATTTCAAAGATTTCCTTTTTACTGACCAGATGTATACATGTTTGATAATAAAAAATAAAAAAAAACAACACTGGATGGCTCAGTTGGGAGAGTACAGTTCCTTCATTTAAATGTTTGGATTTAATATAAATGCATAAAAGAGTACAAAAATAAAACATTTGTATGAGATAAATTTTACATAGGAAGAGGAGATTTAAATGAGTAAAAGGGTGGAAGAAAAAATCAAACCAGTTAAATTCAGTTACACATTCAATGATCACAAAAGAGTAGAAACAGGACGATAAACCGTTTTAAAAAAAGAAAAGAAAAATACAGAATGTAGTGTTTAAAGTTAGTAATAATACATTTTTTTGCTAAAACATGAATACATCAGGTATAAAGTGCATTTCTATCTGCATGACAGTTGTAGGTAGTCAAATCTATATACATATATCCATTGCCAGTAATGGTAGTATTTGTTCTACTGCAGCCCTCTGTGTTACCAATTGTTTTTATTACTATTTTAATTACCTTTTTTGCACACCCATGTTTGGAAGTGGTATTCACATTGAGAGGCTATTTTGATCAGTGTCACAATTTCTTCTCACAATTTCTCGGTAACTGACACAATTTTATGATTCTGGTAAATCTCGTCTTATTGGCTGCTCATTAAAACACAGTTTGGAAACCAGATGTTGAGCTTTTACAAAGAACAACAAAAAAAAGAAGAAAGAATTAAGACGCAGGCGCATAATCAGCCACAGAACAGCTGTAGGAAATGCTGCAGCTCTCTCTGCATTAATTTCCATCACAAAAACATTGTATTGCTATTTTTATAGGGGTTTTCAGTTGGGGGGCAGCTGGCATTCACTTAAATTCCTTGGTGCCAATTAACTTAAACTGATTATTTATTTTAGAGGAGAACTTATACATCAATTTGTGTAATCTGAAATCTAACATGATCAGAATAAACTGATCCACAGACCACAAGACTGTGCTCCTCACAAATGGGATGCTCAATAAAGTTTGATATGGAGGAAACCTTCTAGCTAAGACACGTCATCCCTCTTTAAGCCCCTTCACGCTGGGTGGGGCCTTTGCTTTTTTCCTAAATAACGGAGAGGCCAAAGGAAAAATCTCCAAAAATAGCTCTTTACTTTTAAAGTCCATTAACAAAATAGTATTTACACTATGGTTAGGAAAGTATACACTCATAGATATAATAGCACTTTGCACTAATATTTTGTTAAATCTATAAGTGGTGAAATGAAGTGGTGAAGGATGCAGCAGTGCTAGGAGCATGGTGTTTATGGTGAAGACTTTGAAGCTTGTGCATGGAGCACAAGGCTGCAGCGTGTCAGCTAGAGTAAGTGCTGTACAATTTAACACATGATCTGGTATCATGTTACATATCTGCGATGATGTGGTCCAAATCCTCAGCGGTGGCTCGGGAGGATTTCTGCAGGCATTTTAGTTGCCCTGTTTGGTTTTCTTAATCCTGGAAGGGAAAAGCACATTTGTCATGAGAACAAAGTAGACACGGGAACTACAACGTCAGAATCATATGGCTTTTTGGTGCTGACTGTTCACGCGGTCTATATATTTGACACTCTATATAATAGAGTGTCAAAACACAACAAAAGATAAATGCACGGTAACTTGTGAGTAGTAAACACCAAAAGTGGAAATTAATGAGCATTTAGTCCAGTGGCACAACTCACGGCTGATTTCAGTTCCAGGTTATCAAGTAAAAACAGCTGCTTCGTGTTTAGAAAGCCGAAATGTTTTTGACTTGTAATCATGAGCTAACCATCTTAGCAATAATAAATGTAATTTGATTTCTGCATTCACTTTCAGTTGGCCGGTCAATTAGTGGGCCATTCTGAAAATGTTATGTCTGAAGATGTAATTTTGCAGAGCACTGACGTGAAGCAGTCTCAGGGCGATGATGCCAAAGGATAAACAGGATATTAACAGCATAAGCACTTGGAACTCCAGTGGGTTCTTTAATTATATCTGCCACACTCGTCAGATACAAAAAGGCAATCATCATTTAGTTTACAAAAGTAACGCATGGCTTATAATCGTGTGCATTTCTACACATTACAAGCAGGTTTATGCCTCCTCCTCTATGACTGCATGTGTAAGTGGAAACACATTAGATCTGACTGATTGTAAACAAGCAACATGCACTCTACATGCGCTATTTTGTTATGCAGAGGGCTGTTCACGCCTCATCAACCCGAGGGCTCCACAGTCATCCTTGAGACAGGCCGTCTGACTGCTAGACTGTGGGCGGATCTGTCAGTGTGTATTGAGTGTGTATGTCACAAGCTGGATTAAATGCCGTAGTGCGTTTAGTTTTCTTTACATGAAAAGACGGGAATCCACATGTGACATTCCAAAAACTCTTTTATCCGCCTCCATCGCACAGTGCAGGGTTTGTTTCGTTCTTTAAATAACAGACATGGCAACTTGATCCCTTCTATAAACTTTGTTGTACCAACATCTTTCAGAAAAGTGTCTGCTTCCTCAGGGAAGGAAGGAGACAGTGACTTTTAATGCCACCAGTCTCAGTATGAATTTAACTTGATTGTGCAATTCAGAGTTGCATAAGGTGACAACGAATCCCATCATATTACATTATTTTTACAAATTTAGAACGTTATCTTTATCTTTACTCTCCGATGTAACGTTTAATGCACTAAATGTCCTAAACTCTAAACAGTATGCAAGTGTGCCGTGTATAGTGTAAATATATTAAACTGCATTTGCTAGACTGTGTTCCAGTATGAATAGTGATGACCAGGAACAAACCTGTAATAGCACTTAAGAGCAGATTAAGTGCACCCACACTTTGTATGTGAAAGTGGAAACGCTTTACTCCCACTTGGTCATGTACCAGCATGTTTTGACTTTGGGTTCCAATATAAATTGGGCAATTGAGAGCTTTTACTCCCACAATAGTCTATTGGTAAACATCCAAATGCGCATTTGCGCCTTTGGATTTGTAGATTCTTTGCTTTAAATTTCTATAGAGTGTAAGTGAGTATATCCCACTTGTGCCAACAGATTTGTTAAAGCCAGACGGGATTGTGTATTACAGAAAAATGACCCCATGACTAAAATCTGCTGGATTTGCTGATACTTACTTGTTGAGAGCGTTCTTCAGGTACTGCTGCAGCCACCGGATCTCAGGGTTCACGCACACCTCCTTGTTTGACTTCAGCTTGGCACTGATTAGAAAAAGGATAAGATGAGGATAAAAGCTTGAATTATGCATAATCATTAACAGTGGGTATCTTAACACACTGTTATCAAACTGACTGAATTAACACTGACTTGCTAGTTTGATACTTGCAGCGAACCTCTTAACAGTAGTGCCTTAATTTGTAAGTGATGCTGCTACAGAAATTAATATGCATTAATATTGTTAAGATACTGACCCTTAAGGTACTTTAGTGTTAGGTCAAATTAGAATATATTGCAATGCGCAGGCTACTTTCTAAAGCCATGATAGTCCTGTGGTTATTTAAAGAATGGGCTACAACCATATCATATGTCTCCATGTGGGGGACCATGCCTCATTTGGCAACAGATCTTGTTTTAAGTAGCTTCAGACATGTTTTATGTCTCTTTATGTAAACTTGTAAGATATGGCAATTTTATTTTTCCATGCTTCTGAAGTTCTAATGCAACTGACCCTTTTTCACTGATGTTGCCACACACTTTCATGTATGGATTTGCACTGCACAAGCTGTGCCGACGAATGCGATCTCAACTAAAGGTTGTATGAACAGTATGAAGAGAAAACGCTGCGTGACAAGCAAATGAGAAGCAAACCCAGTTACAAAACCCACGATTATTGCTTCCTGGTTAAAAAACAAAACTGTATCCAATTTCCACCACCTTTTCACATTCGCTCATACTCAAACGGACCACTTCCTGTGGATGCGTCAGTGGGCCAGTTGCAAAAAGAACGACTTGTTTTCTGTGAATGAGCGAGCGAGTGACTGAGGGGCGTGTATGTACAAATTCATGCATGATTCCTTTCTCTGGCTTGTCACCCTGCAGAGATTGATGGTGAGAAATGTCCGAACTAGGAGGAAACCTGCCTAACGTTTATATGGCCCAGACAGAAAACGTGCTGCCTGGAGAAGTCAAAAACAACACTCACATCACTTGGAAGGGGCAGTTGGGTGTGTGGATGAACCTAAGTTCTCGGATGTAGTTTCGTGGGACGGTGTTGACTGTTGAACGGCAGTAGCATCTCTCCACCAGGCTGATGGGCTTTGCTGAGAAAGCAAAAGAGAAGTTGAGTATAACAAAACTATTTTAAAGTAAAGCAAAATTTAAACAAAGCAGTAATTCAGATAAAATTAAATGAAATATCATTCCTGTATGAAATGACATACACTTATTGCAATATCACAAATTCCACCAGCAAATAAGATAAAAATACAGCAAGTCTTTAGCCTATCAAAGCACAAAGTAAGCATGCACCAGCCCTCTGATTATGAACAAATAAATAATATGCCCCCTGCAGTGAAGTATACAGAGTCTTTTGGATTTAAAGCGTTTGATTTTTATCCCTCCATTCTACTTGTTTATCTCTTTCCTTGCCGAGAAGCCTACAGTCAACACTGCCAAATAGGACTAACAAATGACACTGACAGATGAAAATTCCATATTTAATCTTTACAAAATCCAGTTTCTGCTCATCCCACACAGCAAACAGAGAGACTGAGTACATTATTAGCGGGGGTTTTACACCCACAAACACTAAGCTCTTTCAAACATCATTGTGTACTGTGTGGTCCCTGCGTGATGGATGTGCGCAGTTTCCATTGGAGCCTCACCTTTCAGGTTCCTACACTGAGATGGTCACAGTTGATTAATGTGGAAAAATAAAGATAATCTTTTTTCCCCGTTTCGTTACGTCTAAAAGCGGCGTTGGAAATAGATAAAGCATACGCGCCGATAGAAGTTAGTTTTAGCCCAAATACAGTTTATACACAGTTGTTTTACTTGTCAGTAAATTGTTTTAATGCGACACTGGCAGACTGTAAGTCACAGATGGTGAAACCTGCCCCAGTGGATTAAACTATGCTAATTATTTTTTACACCTGATTACCATGATAAAAGAGCGCAACACCTTCAAGTTGGGTGATTGATGTCGCCACGTAGGCTAGCTGAGGTTTGGCTTCTAGAGACTTCATTTGTGGCTAATTAAAAGAAAACAAAGGGAAGGACAAACACACGCTGATCACTGATCCAGCGGGGAAATTCCTATACGGCAAGAGCCACATGTGCAGCCTGCCGTGCTTTACGCACGGCGAAAAATGCACTCTCCCTTCTTCAATGAAAAAAAAAATGCATGAAAGATTTATGCATTTTAAAAAATGTAAATAAAAATGTAAATTTTCAGGTCCAATTTACGTTTTTTCCCCCTTTCCCCCCCACAGTATTTGCACTCCGAGTGCACGCAATTGGAATTTCTCATCTGATGTCGTGCTCAGATTTTTGGCAACTAATATTATAAATACACACTGATTTACAGTAACTGTATTTAATGTAAAATAATTAGTAACAAAAAAGTATTTAAAAAGAACTGCGGACGTACTGGACCCCGATAGAGTTGCAGAACTCTATCGGAATAATTATTTATAGAAATACTATAGACATCCAGGGTCGCAGCTTGTCTGGAGCCTATCCCTGCTGTCTGGATACGCGGAAGAAATGATGGATGAATGGATGAATGAATGGACTACAGACAAGACAAGTCAACAGGTGGACAGCGTAAAAGCAAATATGTTGCTGATACTTCCCTCCAATACGCAGCACAGCTGCAATACAGTCTAAACAAAATCTGAAGCAACATAAAACAGCAACCCCGAAAATGAATCCATACCTTGCGCTGGAGGTGCATATATCATCACCATGAGTACAGCCACGACCGCCAGTAGTTTCACATCCATTTTGCGTTAATGTCAAAGAGTTCCGAAACTGCTCAGAGTAAAGTCCAGAGGAGTTCTGACAGACGGGGCACCGGCGGAGTGTTAAATTAGGCACCACTGCGTCAAGCTACCATAAAGAAATGGTGTTTCCGGTCACCAAGGACCCGTTTTTTACTTTAACGGATATTTATGAAGTAATAAGGCGTCAAATTGTAACAAAAATCACTTTCAGAAAAAAACACGTCATAGATGAGCCGTCGTTTTAATAGATCTGTGTTAAATGTTATATTAATTACTTTGTCGTGATTTTATTTTGTAGGAGCTTTTTATTATTTCCGGTGTTTTAGGAGGATTTTTGGATACAGCCTATACAGCACGATAGACCCCCAGGCGCGCGCAAGTGTGCACATGCCTCTGACGAAAGTGTTTAATGAAAGTGTTCTTTTTTTTTTCTTTTTTTTTTTTTTTACATGTCAGAAGACTTGGCAGTAAGCTGATTGGTAGCTGCTCATTTATTTCCTAAAAAATACGTGTAGGATCCAAAGTGTACCTTCAAGCAATTGGCACGATTTCTTCTGCACTGTCCTTAAAGCTGCTGCTGAAAAGAAAGAGAAACATTTTTTTGTGCATGCTTTTTTCATGCTTCTTGGTTTTTCATGTTATAACTGGTCATCGCAGGGACTTTACTGACCCTACATAAATAAAAGTGGGAAGAATTTGCGTGACTATACACTAATGTTTCCAAAAGTAAAAAATGTGGTGTAGAAAGAGCATACAACACTTTTGGCCTTTTGGAGAATGTGTGGGTGTATACGCCTAGATCTGAGAAATTTATTCCTATTCACATGTTCATCAAATGATACCTTATACTAATGCGTTAACACCATAATTACGTTTTTAGATTGTTTAAGTTAAATACACACAACTGAACTCCATGCAATTCCACTAAGTAAATAGAAACTGCAGACAACCAAAGCTTATATTTACACAGACTGAGGTTGTGTTTTGAGACATTTTTTTCAGAATCTCAGAGCAACATGAATAATGTGACTAAGTGGTTGGTTTTGTATTTTCTATTCTTTCTTTTTTCAGTTATTGCAGACATATCCTCTCATCACACCAACTGTGGGAAAGCAAACCACCTGCTGACAGCACACTTTATCATGAAAATGAGCGAGGAATAGAAGATGGTTGTTCAAGGAGAATAACTTTGTTTTGCGCTTGTTTTAACTCTCTAGCCGGTATCGTAAGTAAAAAGGACAATTCCTCTGTTGTGTTGGCAAGATCTGCTTTATGACCAAAGTGTTTGTGACAATAAAGTCCTGACATAACCAATACTTACCCTTTTTGTAAACCTGTTTGTTCATAATTCTGAGACATTTTTGTTAGATTTGTTGCAGGCTGTCTGTGTTTTGGATCTCATGATGAATGAAGCCATGGATACCAGACGCACGGGAGGAGACGCACGGAGGGTAAAATTAGCTGACAGCTGAAAGGACATATTGACTTCTCTCACAGGCCACAAAGGCTAACTCCAAGAGTGCATGTTAGAAAGACAGAGTAGGCAAAAAGTAAAGAGCGTTGCACAAAGGCCCTGATATTTCAGTAAGCGTCCTCTCAGCTTGGAGTGAAGAGTTTCAGATCAAAGTGCTCACCTCATCAACCTTGCTTGTTCTCACACAGGATGCCTGACATGTCGCTACAATCTACAGGTTATGCTCACTTCACTGCACTTTCCTGTGAGCCTGCACAAACAGCAAACGTGTGCAGCGGGGTTTGCGCAAGCACACAGGCAAATGGAAGTCATTTGTCTCAAGCACAAGTACATACACATGCTCTCACATCTACTCGGTCTATGCGCATAGTTCAGGCTGTCAGTGGGGGGCAACCTGTGACATGTCATGGGAGAGAAGTCAAAGCACATTCAAGTATTCAGACGTTTCTCAACAGTAAGCAAGATTTACTTTCTTGGCCAGAGGTGAATGGACTATAATAGTGTGGTTACATAAGCAGATTTGGCAGAACATCTGCCCAATTGTTTTGTTTTTTTCCACATTATCTGGCTGTGTTTTCCCGAAATGAAACTTTTCTTTTTTTTTTCTCAGCATATGCAAATGTTTATAGAAACCCTTATTAGGGTACGTTTTCTAAAAATGAAACAGAAAAAAGGTCTCACATTTCTGGGGTCATTGATTCACATGATTGTGAATGATAAATGGGCTGATAGTTATATAGGAGTTTTTTACTCTGAGCACTCAATGCACTTTTGTTTCTAAACTTGTCTAAAGCTCACACGTTTACACTCACAGGATGTTCAGGATGTTGCCCAAGGATACTTCGATTTGCTCCAATCTGTCCTGACCTTCCAATTGGTGAACGCCGCGCTCTACCTCTGATGGCTATAGTGGTCGATAGTGGTTTGTATATAATGCACACACATGTCTACCTGCTATGTGTTATTCACACCTGTCCAGCATCCAGTAACTTTGAGTTGCAGCATAGTCTTCTGTAGCCCATCTGTCTGGTTTGGGAGGTCTCACTGTAGGGGTCCATCTGCTCTCTTCGTGAGTCGTATCTTACTGTACTCTCAAAGAATAAGGTAAGATGGAACAGTTAAGGTTTTTCTCTGAAGTTGTGAAGGCAGGTGTCCTCCAGAGTTTTTGTTTTTTTGAAGCCTTGAAAATGTCACATGTCTCATAAATGTCTAAATACAGTTTACATACTTATCCCTACGTCACATACATACACACTGTTTATTCCTCGCCTACTGTGCCAAATCTCTTGATCTCTAGTCTCATCAGCATAACACTTACAGAACAAATGTTTAAACATACTCGTTTAAAAGGGGTCTGTATGCTGTTGATGATAAGTAGGAAAAATGCAAGTCTGTCACATGCCACTAGATTGTTAAACATTCCTCTACCATTATTCACCTTTAAAAAGAGACCATGTGGTGCAAGGGGGCTGAAGTATGGATGGCTGAACGTATTATGGTGGGGTTGCCAGTTTCCATAGATCAGACTGGTTTGAGAACGTACAGGCAGCTAGCCCCAGTAGGGAATCCTCCAGTGGTCCATTGAGGCTCTGTGAGGCTGAGGGCCTGCTGGCTCAACCTTTTGTCTGGTTTTCTCTATGTCCTCCAGAAAGTCACGAGCCCGGTGCCTCCTTACCACCATATGGACCACCTCAATGGGCTGTCGACAAAGTCTTTAGCAATAGATGTTGAATCAATGGGAAACAATGCTCTGGACAATGGCTTTATTACCACTGGTAAGATCTTCTAAAAGCGCAAAAAGAGAGGTTTTCTGCTTCATTTTATCCAAACTAATAAAAGATCCACTCAAATAAAATTGCACAATTTCACTATTTTCTTCTAAGCATAATCCTCATGTTTGTTCCATCTCTTCTTCACTGTGTAAAGAGCTTCCTCCCTTCGTCTGCTAATTAATTCTCCCTGTTTTCTTGCTTCAAATCGTAAACAATCATTGTCGATATTTATCATTTATATCGTCATCCAAAATAGTTTGGGAACCGCACAAAATTCTAAGTGCGTCACAGTGCTGTCATGAACAAAACTACTTACATTTTTCTTTTTCGCAACAAACAAAACATGATTCTGCAGTACAAAAAAAAAAATTAATGTAACTGTCGCCAAGACACCAGACATGACTTTCCTATTATTAAGTAACAATAGAATGGGTTTTGCATTGCTGAGATAGAGTAGATGTGTTTTTTTCCCTCTAGAACAACAAAAGAAAAGCTCAATTGACATTAAATGGATGAAGTAAATGTCAGTTGTGCTAGTTTTTATAGTTTCAGCTGTGAATTTATGCCAGAAAAGGGCACATGAGCCACAGCTGGTGTGGAGCAACTTGGTGGTGGATCCATAGTTTGACACCTGGTGGTGTCCGGCCGCGAGAACAAAAATCCGTCAGCTGCTTGTGTGATGTTCCCCAGGAGGAGCAGAGAAACAGCTCAGGGACCCATTAGCGTTCAGGGTAACGCTGCCGGTTCTGCTTTTTTGAAGTCAAGAGTGATGATATATGGTTTCATGAGGTCACGGTTTTGTAAATTGAAGAAATGTGGCTTAATTCTTTTTCTCTTTAAGCAGGTTTTTTTGATGGGTCAAAGAGATTTGTGACTCACTCTCACAAAATGCGATAAAGATAAGTCACCAAAGTTTTAGCTTTTGTCTGACCTGTTAAAGAGATCAGTGCGTATTTTGTTCCTTTTATTGTAGTTTCTCAACTCTGCGTATGTTGGAGTCATTGAACTACAAACTTGTATATAGACTCATTTGTCCAGCTAACTGTTACTGTGTTGCAACTGTACATAGACACACATTAAATACCAGGGCAGTTACACAGACCCAGATACACTTTTTCTCACAATCGAAAGCTCCTGCAGTTTACTTTGTCACCAAAACTGAAAACCACAACACAAACAATATGCCCTGTGCTTCAGCCCCAGCCACATGTTTAATTCTTGACAAAGACACTGACACATGTTCCCTTATTTAGCCCCCTTGTTTTCCCCCCCTTCATTTCTTTTTATCCTCTTTGGCTCCTTCATTAGTCATTGTATCCTCACAAAGCTGATGTTTTTGGCTCGTCCTTAAACTTGATCCATTTCTGTGATAAAAATGGCTTAGAGGACACATGGAGTCAGTTAATATTTCATTATTCATCCATTCCTGTGTGTTATACAGCACAAGTGTTGCTGACTACACTGATTCTGTCTGTCATCAAGCAGCCATAGGTCTCCGTACTCTAAGGTTTCTGAGAGATGCTGAAAGAGTTGAATAAGTGTCAGAAAGAGCAAAAAGTCAGTCGAGCCTGATCTGTAAAGTAGTCTAGCATAGGCTGAAACTGAGTGAACACAAAGGTGGCTGCTTAACTACAATAAAAAGACCAAAGCATTGATCTAAAAATATGTGTGATGCATTGTCTTAAAGTAACACAAGATGCAGTTGTACTTGTTTGAGTTTTTGCAGCTTATATTTCATTACCACAGTTGTGTATGTCAAGCTATAAGTTTACAAATCACTGCTTTTCCCTTTATTACTGTTCATTCTGCAAAAAAGTAATCATGTTTATC